TTCTTGCTCATCGTCAGTAGGCGCGAGGGGGATGAGGACGGGCTGTACCACTTGGCACCAGGGGTTGAAGGGTAAGGGTTTCCAAGAAAAGTGCGCTGTAATGGGGGAAGCATTGGGCCCAGTGTTCGCCCGCGGCCTGAGGGTGTGTGCGCGCGCTCGGCGAGCCCAGGCTCTTTGTGTGTCCGAGCCCGTGCGCGCGTGCATGTGTGCGGTGTGCGTGTGCGTGTGTGTGTGTGTCTGTGTGTCTGTGTGTGGGGCGGGGCCGGGGCGCTTCAGCTCCGCCCCGGCCCCGCCCCGGCCCCGCCCCTGGCCCGGCCAAGCTGGTATTTTTCCACCCAGCAGGATGGGTGATGCTGAGCGTTGCCTGCTCAGACAACAGACACGCGAGGTCAGGAAGAAGCCGCTTATAAATTACCGCTTCCTCCGCTCCGCCACCAGCGCGGAGCTTCGGGCCCTAATCGCAGCCCCACTCGCTTGCCGTCGCCGAGCCCCGAGAACCGTGAACCCAGAAACCCAGCCACGCCGAGAAGGAGCGCGGAGCGCGGACCCCGCGGACCAGAGATCCAGCGGGCGTGCAGCTCCCGGCGAGTGGAAGCTAGCGCGGCCGAGCGCAGTCCCGCGGCCGCTCCAGGTACCCGAGGGAGAGGGAGCACGGCGCACGGAGCTTCTGCCCCGTCTCCGCGCTTCAGCCAGCCCCGACCTCCTACCGCCCAGTGCCCCCCATTCCGGCGCCCCTTTCACCACCGAGGGAGGGACGGAGGGTCGCCGGCTCAGACCTGCTGGAGAGGCCGTTATTGTTTCCCCGGCGAAAGGGCTCGGACTTCTCGTGCAGGCGGCAGGTGTGTGTGTGTGTGTGTGTGTGTGTGTGTGTGTGTGTGTGTGTGTGTGTGTGTGTCTGTCTGTCTGTCTGTCTGTCTCGATGTCTCAGTCTCACTGGGCGTCTATATGTGTCTTCGCGACCCTGTGTGTGTCTGTGTATTTCTGAGGTTGGCTGTTTCTCTGTGTCCCCAGCAGCATGCACTGTGTGACCCAATGAATGCCTGCTATTCTCTGAGTCCTGGGTTCTGCGTGTGTGTTCTGGTGCGTGTTTGTGATACCTGAGTATGGCTGTGTCGCTGTGTCTTCGGATGTGTGCACTTGTGTGTTCCGGTGTGTGTGTGTGTGTGTGTGTGTGTGTGTGTGTGTGTGTGTGTG